TTAGCCAGGGCATCAGAAGAAGGAGGGCTTGGGGGTCATTCATCCCGTGTTTATCAAGTATCTTCTTACTGTATGAATTTTTTCATTCCTCTTGGTGAGACCTCCTAGGGGAACTGCCTGGCAGACCCAGGAAGACGACTATCTGCTCTGTTCCAGCTTTCTACCACTGAGTCAAAAACTGACCTGATACTGAATGGCGGGAAACAGCCACCATGTTGTTATACCATGACTTTGTCAGGGAGGAGTTTGGGCAGGTGGAATAATGCCATTCACTCAGTGGTGTCCTGTTGGCTGCTGGTCTGGTCTGGAGGGATCGAGATGGCTTTCATTCTCATGCCTGATGTTTGTCAAGCTTTGGCCAGAAGATTTGGCTCCACTGGGCCCCTCTCCATTTCCGGATCATCTTTTGGGCCTTTCTGTGTGGTTTCTCTTGGAGGGTAGGTGAAAGGCCGTATTGCATCGAAGCTCAGGGCTCCAAAAGACTGAGGAAGAACCTTCCAGTCTTCTCAAAGGCAAGATCGTGGCAAGAACTGGCCATGCATCACTTCCACCGTTCTTTATTGGTCTAAACAGTCCCACGTGAGTTTATATTCAAGAGGAGGGGGCTGGACCCCACCTCTTAATGGGAGGAGTGTCAAAAATCTGTGGCCGTCTTATATCTGGTACATTTATGCCTCTCCTGTGGTCACTTCATGTGTGTAAGAAAGTCTTGGTGATTCATGGCCCAAGTGAAAATGTGATAGGAAAAGAGAAAAAGGAAAAACTCTCCAATGAGGAAACAGGGCAGTGTGTGGGAGGTGCCTGTCATTATACTGTGAGTTCTTATATGATCCACTATGCCCTGCCTAGAACCTGGTATGGTGCTTGCTGCTTAGAAAGTGGACTATCAACAGAACCAAGCTTTGACAGGCATTTGTTGCTATATTTCTAGTTACATGAGTGAATGTCTCACACTAAAACCTCCCAGGAAAGGAGCCAGGGGAATCTTATTGCAAAACTAGCAGTTTATTGGGTTGACAAAGAGAACATTCAATTAAGTAGATTTTCAGAACACAATGAAATCATTTTAGTTGTGAAATGTGGACATAAAAAGTAATCATTTAGAAACATCCAAGAGGCATTTGAAGACGGGATGACAAGATGCAGCCCCTTTCACTCAAGCCCAGACGGAGGGCCCTGGGGGGGGTCACAGAAGTGCAGAGGCGTGGGCAGATTTGCATCCATCCCAGGTCTCTCTGCCCCACTCCAAAGTCTGGACTCTTTCCACAACACCAGGCGTCTAGAGGAAGGCCACTCACAGATTGATTTATCCAGAAAACAATGATAACCACCAACATGCATCCATCACTGTCCTGGCACTGTGGGTACAGAGGGAAATTCAAACGTGACGCTAGGTCTTCAGGGCTTCCAAGTCTCCAGATGGGGGCATTCTCTGCCTAGTCTTAGATTCCAGGGAAAGGCTTGGGCATCTCAAGGTACATCAAGATGGGAGAAGGAGATACAGAGATAGTCCATTGCTCAGCCATGGAGCCACCATGCCCGAGGGAAGAATTCTTGAAGAAAATCAGAAGTGTATCACTTCTCTTGGTGTAGTCCAGCAGCTTCCAGCTTCTACTCCTTCTTGTTAAACATAGTGATTGCACCCCAAGATTCTAATAGGCCACCCCAGAGAATGCAGGGCAGGTACCTTCTGACAAGGCTCCTGATTACCACTGGTGGTCACGCCCTGTGGAATCCTCTCTTGTGTTTGGGATGACCTTGGTGGCTCACTTCTAACAAGCCGACTATGGCAAGATGATGTGGGATGTCACATCCAAGATTAGCTATAAAATCCTGTGACTTCCGTCTGGCTTGTCCTTTGTCACTGGCTCTTCTTGGGTGTTTGCGCTAAACAAGCAAGTTGTCATGCTGTAAACTGCCCTTGGGACAGGCTCATGTGACTCAGAACTGAGGTTTCTCAGTCTAACAACGTTTAACGACTTGAACCCTGCCGATACCTAAATGAGTGGCCTTGGAAACGGAAGCTGTGTGTGGGGGGAAATCTGTTATGCAGCAACAGATAACTAATACAAGTATATAAAAGAAGAAGAAAATGCAGCTAGCACAGGGTCTAGTGCACTTTCTGCTACACCATGTGACTTCTGGCCAATAAGGCTCTTTCATCTGGAGGTCAGGGGAACAGCTCGTCCATGGCATGAAGTCCTGGCATCTTACCTCAGCAGTAACACTCCCCTATGGCCTGACAATGACCTTGGCCCCCCTCTCTGCAGCCTCTGCTTCTGCCTCAGGCACACCTTATCCCAGGACTTTCATGGTATCTTCTCTTGGACACACTCTTCCGTCTTGCCCTGCTAATATTCTGCGAAGATATCAAGGCCAAATGCTTTCCTTGTTTCATGTCCTGGTTGGAAAGATTTTTTTTCTTCTCTGGAGCTTCCAAATGTATTTTAGGCATATCTATATCTCCCCTGCTTTTTGCCAAGGATGACTTAAAGGATGAAGTGGCAAACAAAATTCCCTGCTTGCTTTTAGCTGGTTTATCTTTTATAATTGGAGTTTCTATAGCTGACTTGATGGTAGTATTACTTTATGTAAATCTTTCATGACTCAAGTGAATCATAAATTCTAAGGACAGAGATATGGTCTTAGTAATCATGGTGACATTTGTAATAACAAAGTCTCACAGCACAGTAACTGTTTATTATAGACTGAATTGTGTCTCTCCTCACCCCCAAATTCATTTGTTGAAGGCCTAGCCTTCCATGTGACTGCATTTGGAGATAAAGCCAGTGAGGAGGTAATTACGGTTAAATGAGGGCTTAAGAATGAGGCCCTAATCCAATAGGGTTAGTTACCCCTATCAGAAGACAGATGAGCTCATTTTCTGCAGAGAAGACACCAGGGGAAGGAGTCTGAACTTGATGCTATGGCACTAGGGAGGCAGTGTGGACTCCAGAGCAGAGGAGGAACAGAGATGCCTGGAGGTGGTAAAAAAATCTCCCGGAGTGTGTTCACTGAGAAGAGGCCACATGAGGACACAGTGAGAAGGTTGTCACCTGCAAGGTAAGGAGAGAGGTCTCAGAAGAAACCAACCCTACAAACACCTTGATCTTGGATTTCCAGCCTCTAAAACTGTGAGAACATAAATTCCTGTTGTTGAAGCTCGCCAGTCAGGGGTATTTTGTTATGGCTGCCTGAGCTGACTAATACACTGTCTTTTAAAAGAACTCAGCCACCACCACTTGCTCTGGGTTTGAATTCT